AACCTTAATGGCCGATAACGCCACGTTGGCAAGGCCCTAATCGGCCGACGAACAAACGACGTCCCCGTCGTTTGTTCCGGCAGCAGTCGATTCGGGTGCTTCTTGACTCGAATTTTTTTTTTACGATCGACCCCGTTCTCGCTACTCTCTCGGGGGGATCGAAGCTCTCGAAGGCGAGTCCCTTGGAACCCGGGAGAAAAAGCACGTGGGAAGTGTCTCGTTAGGAAGAGACACGTAAATCCATTTGACCACTTACAAGGGAAAGCTCTCGACGTGGGAACGGGGACGAGGACGCGGAATTTCGGGCAGCGTTTCGCCAAATCGGCGGCTTTGAAGCCACGTCCGAAAGTTCGGCTTTCCCGGGATTTTCTCATTTTTCCCATTTCATTTAATTCCGTTTAATTTCGTTTCAACGTGCCCGGCAACCGCGAAACGCTTCGCGTGGTTCGGACAGTCCGACACGGAGATATCTCACCGCAGCTTGATTATTCGCGGCATAAGTTGCGACTCCGCGGTCGGATTACCCCGAAGGGATGTCGATATTAAAAAAGTTCCGGCAAGTATATCCAGGATATGGACGAACTCGCGAGATTTTCCGCGAAACGAGCAGTCGTTGCCGAGATTTGCCTAATCCCGTTTATCCGAGACGTTTGCTCGGACCGAGGAGTGCGTTAAACGGGAACGTAGATGAAGAAGTATCCCATGAAGTGCCCGGAGTAACGGCGGAGGTTCGGAATCCCGGATGACGAGCCAGTTACCTGGAGGAAAGTGCGGAGGAAACCGATCTCGTTAGAACCCGACTCGGAATTTTCTCGGCGCGAAGCTTATCAACCCCCTCGTTATATCGCGACTCTTGGAGCCCGCGATCCAACGTTTTTTACGACTCGAATTTTTCCACAGCTCGTTAGACGGGGAAGGGAAAGGTCGAGGGAGGAGCTGTCACGTCAAATAAAAAATAGAATAAATATCGGAATCCCGTCAACAGTCTAGGAACGTCGATCGTGACGTAGCGGCGAAATTGATGAAAATCCGAAAATTAACCTGGGAATTTGTAGAAGAGACAATGTCGATTTTTATGAATCAGGTGAGAAAGAGGGCATCGAGGTGACACGCATCGACCGAGAATCAAAGCCTCGGAAACGAGCCAGGTGCCATCCTTGGGGGCACGAAAAGGTTGGGAAGAAAGGTGGCTCGTTAGGTCGCATAAACCGTAGCGGCCTCGAACAATGGAGCGAGAACCGAGGCGAATCCCCGGAGAAACGCGGCAAGAATTTTTGGGCCCCGGATCCGCAAATTCGCGTTAAATTCGCGAAAGAGAGAGACGCGAGTCGCCCCGTTTGGACCCGGAATACCAAACCAGGAAGCGACTCGGCGGTCTGGAAATCCTGGCGTCCTTCTTCCGGGGAGGGATTTAAATTCCCTGCCACGTACGGGTCCACCTGGCCGATGGAAACCTGCCAAGAGGGAGCCGGGAGGACTTGGGAACTCTCCCATCCGGGGACGTGTTAATTCCCCGAGTTTTAACGAGCCGCCGACGGGAGCTAAAATTGGCCGGAAACTTTCGGAAAGAAACGCGAAGAAGTGGCGAGGAGGATAGTTCGGTATTTTATTAAGGAACCGCAAACGCCGAGTCGTCGTCGGCGCCGACGCCGGGGGATTCGAGGAAGTTCTTGCCGCGGTATTTAATAATTTATTTTTAACGATGTACACACGCCGAGGGCTGGCCAGAACGTAGGCTTCCCCGATGAGAACCGCGACCGTTCGGAGCTAGTTGGAATAGTTGGCATACATTTCCGTTTGCCCGCGAGCGCACGTGGGTGTACGTAGGTACGTACGTACGTACACGCGCTCGGATCGAAGGGGATTATCTTCTTATCTGGGTGCGGGAGATCAGTCGAGATGAAAGCACCCACTCGCAAAACGGAATACCGCCTTACGCCTCCTTCCGGCGGATATACGACCTAATAAAACGGGAAAAAGCACGAGTAAAAAGGCGTATTTAAGCCGCCGCGAGGACGAGGACGTCGACGACTGGAAAGGACGTATTTAAAGCTCGAACTCTCGAATCCCCGGCCGATTACTCCCCACAAAGCCCGAGACTCCCTCGATTCCTTTGAAAATCGAAAATCCACCGACGAGCACCCCATCGGGAGGTCCCATGGTCGAACTTCTCGTTTACCTTCCGATTTCGTGGATTTTAAAGGTCCCGGTAGACCTCGTCGGCGAGAGGTCGGATAGTCGAGCCAATCTCGGCCGATTCGGAAAGAAGGTCGAAGGTCGACTCGGCCCTCGAAGGAACGGGGGCGCATCTCCGATCTCGTTGGCTGAAAGCTCGGGACTTCCGGTTCTCCGGGTGGAGGAAGGCGCACTTCCGGGACAAATTGCGCGAGCTTCCCGAGCCGGCGATGCGACCCTGTTCTCCGAGAGCTTTCCTATCCGGAATTCGCGATTCCTCGAGCGAGCCGAAAGCTCGATAAGGGCCGTTAATATTTATCGCTTCTCCTCGGGGACGGAGGAAATTTTAAGTGCGCGCCGAGTATACGGTTCCGGTACGGGGAGGGAAAGGAAACTCTTTTCAGGATTCCGGTCATCCCGTGGCAAGGCGATAAAACAGCCGCGTGGATTAATCCCGACGTCGAGGCAAATAGAGTGCATTTAATTATTGCCAAGCGACCCTCGAGGAAGGAACGTCCAGCTTCTCTCTGTTCCTCCCCGTGCTTCCGGGATTTTCGATTCTTTCGCGGTCCGACGAGGCCCATTAATATTTATTGCTTTTCTTCGGGGTTTTAAGGGCGCGAGAAATCTGCAAATGGAATACGGCGGAACCAAGACGGAATAATTATGCGCCCAGGTAGAAGTTTGCTCTATACGTCCCTATAACTCGGATTCACGCCTCGGGTTATTCGACTTCGAGGAAGGCTCCGCCGAGAATCTGCTCGTTTGCTTATCGCGCGGGTCACTTGGCGATGTGCAATAAATAATTGGAGAACCTTGACTAGACCCAATCGCGCAATCTCGGCGTTTCGAGTAGAACGACATTTTTACGATTTTCCTCATTGAAGGGAATTTTCATCCCGTGACTATCTCCTTTCAAGAACGCGCCTTAAAATTGTTCGTCGAAAGGTAAGAAGATCTTGTGGTTGCCCTAGAGAATCGTCATCGTTGCGCGACCATTTGCGCTATTTTCTCACACTTTGCCGTTGTTGCAAAATTTAATGGGAATAAAAATTTTCGGCCGTCTAACGATCTCCCCAAATTTGTTTGAGGTACGCACCGAGTCGCGATATTGCATTCGCAATTAAAACAAGGCACGAATTACTCTCGTCGCGATTACGAGTGCCGGACTCGTAAATCCAGGGTGGATGAAAAATTCAACCTTAATTTCTATTTAATTACGGCAGCGTCTAAACGTACGAGGACTAATCCAGTTTACGGGGCCACTGAAATTGTCCGACGATGCATAAGCTCGAAGACGAGAAATGTCGCAAATCGTAGATTCGCCTAATAACTTTGCGTTTGAATCGAGGTGCTCGTTTTACTCCGTCAACTTTTGCAATTTTGTTCATTTTGCACGTTGCAGGGTACATGGACGTCATACTTTCGACGTATTACTCAAAGTCATGCTTCGTCGAAGTCATGGCACCTCGTTTGTGCTTCCTATACGAGAAAGTCGCAGGTCCGGCGCCTTTACGCCCACTTTACATGCATTACATCGCGCCTTCGCGCATTAGCCATTTAATGGGTCATTTCTTGGAGAAGGATCGCCGCCAATTGGCGAGCGCCCTTCGGGCTGGGAGGCCGCCCCGTTTAAGGGCGCCTTGAGAGGGGCGATTTCACGATGCATTTAAAATTACGAGGCCGGTTCAGGGAGCCATCGATAAATCGGTAATGCGGGCCGCCGTTATAACCCTCGCCAGCGGCTAAACCATCATAAACGACTAGGGTATAATACCGCCATAATAATGCCCCGTACAATGGACACAATGGCAGGACTCCTCGCCTCCGCGGTCCATTGTACGATTGCGAGACTCCCGGCTTCGTGGACCGAACAACTTTCGTGGACTTGGCAAAAAGAAATAACCTAATTTCCCGGGGGCAGGACCAGGCTGGGTTTTTCACCCCCGGGGGTATTCAATTAAAGGGGGCGCCATTTTCTAGGATTTTCCTGGATTTTTGTCGTGGACCCTCCGGTCGCAATTTTCCTCTCTTTTTGTTATTCTGGGAGATAATTCGATACATAGGCGGGGTGTATTAGATCGTGGAGGATTTTTTAAACGATTCTAGGAGTTTATTTTAAATTCTGGAATAGTGCATCGGGTAGCTTTGTAAAAGGTGAAACATTTGGGGATACCCGAGAGACCGTAAGGTCAACACGTACGACACGTCCCCTGGCCGATCGGGGATTAGACTAACGATTTAATGGACAACTCGATGAATGGCTCTATGTACGGTTCGTGTCGCTGCGTAAATTGAACAAATTATAGAAGAATGCGTTTGGTGTCGGTGGGTGGACACCCCGAGCTCCCATGTACGCGAGAATTCAACGGGGGGCGGCGGTGCTCAACTTTTCTCGAGTCTTTCTCGTTCGTCTCGGCGTATTTTTTATGCTGGATTTTTCCCTCCCCGAAGACCCGCGAGAATTTGGATTCCGGTAAATATTAATTATCGTAACCAAAAGGGTCACCGAATTGTTGCGAAAAATGGACGCGAATGCCGTTCCCTGAATTACTCTTTTATCCCCAATTTGGTGGACGGTCTGCGAGTTCGTATCCGAAGTAAAAAGAAATACGGAGAAAAGTGTAACGGGGAGTTACTTGAAGATTAGTTAAGACTCGTCTGGACGGTCGGGGAACTCTCGAATGTGTATATGAGCATCTCTGAATGACACAACGGACGACTGATCGTAATTACACGCGACGAATGGCGTTCCGTGTGTGCGTCGACAGAGACCATGAACCCCATCTTAAAGCTGGATCAGTGCCTCATGACAAGTCGTTGAGATCACGTAAGCCAGTGCTCGGATACAATTTATCCTATCCGTATGGTTAACCTCTTGCTTGACGTCTAGTTTTTCCTGCATCCGGTTGACTCGTTGCAACTTATTCCATTTATTTGTTACACTTTTCGCGGTTCCGAGTTTCGCGGACGATGGTGACTCCTTGGTGGATACTTTTAGCATCGGTATTAGGTAAGTCGAGTGCCAAACAGCGGCTTAACAAAATTATTTAAGTAAAAGTGGATAAAGTATTTTTTAAAATATGTACCTTCCCTAATCGCGACGTTATCTCCTCTCTGTCGCGATAAACGAATCCGCGAGTGAAAAAAGTGACCGGGAGGGTGCTCCTACCTTTTTCCAGATTTGCGAGAATTCTGACTTGATATCCCTTGAGTGACAATTGCGAAACCTTCCCGGAGACAATTGTTCCGTGAGTCCCTCGTTTCGGGGTTATTTGAGGATCTTTCAGGTTGGACGATTCTAGTTGGTCGCTTTCCGAGGAAACTGTAAAAGAGGAGACTGGGTGTGAAAAGATCCGCGAAGAGGCGGTATATATATGGGTGTGTATATATATACGTACATTACTAGCGAAGTGGAGAATTTCGCCGAGTAATTTACCTTTGAACAAAGGACAACCTCTGGGACAAGAGCATTATACCGATGCTCTGAATCTCCTCCGTAAATTCATTGAATAACCCCCGAGTTAGTCCCGCGGCACTTCGAAACGCGCGGAAAATATTTAATATCGCGAATTCCCTTTATTTCCACCTCGCGAATAAATGGGATCCAATATTCTCTTATCTTTTGACGTAATTTTCTGAATGAATTCGAGAGCTCGCTGATTAATGGAAAATCGCGTGGCCGTTTTCTGGCGCTAGAGGAAAAAAGGTGCGGCGAGCGTAACTCGACGCCCTGCCCCGGGTAATTTTTCTTTCTCGGCAGAGCGGAGGGGATGAAGAGGCAGAAAGTAGAAAAGTAGAAAAGTAGGAAACCGACACGGATTCGTCACGCAAAGGTCGGCCTCTCGTTGAAAGTTCCGGATCGGTCCTGAGAGAAAAGGTCACGAGCTCTAATGGATGCAACGGCCAACGAACACCTGGGACACGGAATATACGGGATCGCGTAGTGAACGAAATGGGAAAAATGCGTTTCGCCTTTCCTTTCCCATTGGGAGGTGACCATAAGTCAAGGCAACATTTGCGATTCGTTAGCACACGGTGCACCAGATATACGGTGCAATCCGCTATCACGGTACCCCCGAGCTCCGCTGGGAGATTTCGTGCCGCGGGATTACTCTTTTCCTCTTTTATTGTTCGCGAATACCTCGGTGCCGGGTAAAGAGTGAAATTTTTAAAAATCCGAAAAATTCCATAGCGCGCCTCGATTTTTCGCCTTCGACGTTCCGAGGATTTTTAGGAGCCGTGAAAGCAATCGCGAGGGTCCTAGCTCGATTTCCCAAGAATTTTCAGGGGACTTCAAGATGCGTCCAGATGAGAGGAACGATGCTCGAATGCAAAACGCGAAGCTCGAGAGCAAAAGCGGAAGAGAAATCGCGTCCGGCTTACCTCGTTGGTCGGCGGTCGAGGATTCAACGGGTTTGAAAGGCATAGAGAGGCGGTTTTCCCAAGAGCATTCCCCGTGGATGCGCCATTTTTGGAGCCAACTACGAAGCGGCAACGAACGGACGTTAATTCGATCGCTTCGCGCCCGGGCGAGCCGATGGGGCCCGCGAATTAAATAAAAGTATAGGCGCTGGCGGCGAATACTCAGAAAGGGAGACCCACGAAAATGTTAAACGTTCCAACGCGACTCGGTCGACCGAAAGCTACGGGGAAAATATTGAAGGGGGATTTCCGGAGGGCAGTTGCCAGTGCATATCCCTGGAAAGTGGATGGAGTTTGATAATCCAGGAAATTAGGGAATGCCGGGGCATCGGCAATGACCGGGGAACGTTATATACGACCTTGCGTATTTCCTCCCTCGTTAACGAAAATTATGGGACGACGCGCTTATTCATGGGACATATCTAGCCAATGCGCGGTTTCGATCGAGATCCGCATCCCGCTTAACCCGATGATCGGTCCGCGGATTTGGACCGTTTCGGAATACCTCCGACCATGTATATTTATAAATCGTTCATCTTGCATTTAGGCGGAGTCCCCTCGACACGTCAAATTTTCCGCGTCACGGGTTAATCCGAAAATCCGGCAGGATCGCGAACCGATTTCCGGGGAGCGGAAGTGGCGTCGCGAAATCCAGGATCGAAGCGGAAGAGAAAACGAGAGCGAAACCGCGCTCGGCTTAATTCGATAGTCGGTGGTCGCGGATTTAACCAATTTCGGCGATCGCGGGGAGGAACTTTTTCGCCTCGGTCTTCTCTTCTTTTTCTCCCCTTGTTCCCCGTGTTTTTATAATCTCCGAGCGGCTCGGCTTCCCTCGGCGCTTTCCCGGCAGAAATTCATATCGGGCTTCTCCTTTTATTTCGGATTATCATGCGCGATGGCTCCCCAGCACACGTGCAAGCGATGGCGCGCCCTCGACTCGTTGCTTTTTGCACAAAGCACATTTCCGCATCTCACCCTGCGTTTTAGCTAAGTCGGGGTTATTCGAACGGGGGAGAAATCGTTGCGAGGTTTCCGCTCCAAGGAGACCCTTCTCCCTCTTGCCCTGATATTTTCGTCGATCGAGTTCATCCCGAACCTCGATCTGAACATTTCGGAGCGAGGCTCCTGTTAACCGTATCTACGATGGGCACGGTTTTCCTCAATTTTCTCAATGCCCAAATTTTTTCAAGCTTCGGGTTGATCGAAACGTTTCGAGGTCTCGGAAGTTCTCGGTAAGTAAACGAGATCGAAGCTGAAGCCGGGAAAATAAATTAATGAAGAATAAAGAATTTCGAGGTTTAATCCAGGTCGGCAATTTCGACTTTTCCCACCTCGGGCGCGCGGAAACCGCCTGCTGATTCCGCGTATCGCGTGTTCATCGGCCGGGTGGAGAGCACGTGAAAACGATAGCGGGCCCTCGACGCCTTCCTTTTCACCCGCGACGCACTTTCGCGTGCCGACTCGCGTAGCAACGACACAGGTATCGATCACCCCGCTCGTAACCCGCCTAAGACTCCGCACCCTTAACTAACGCGGTGCAATAAACGTTCGCTTAACCCGCTCGAGAAATTCCTCTCGAGAGAACGCTCGGAAGCGAAGACGCGGCCCTTGAAAAGACTAAAAAACGAAACACCCGACGTTTATCGGTTCGCAAGTGGGGTGAAAAATCGTCCCACAACGCGTCGATCCTTAACCCGTTCGCAGTCGGTGGCGTCCTTGCGAGAATCCGAGATGTGTCGCAACCGATCGCCCTGGTCGTAGACCCGGAGAACGGTCTCGGGGTCGTCGAGTCGGCTTCGAAGATCCGGTCTGACTTTTGCTCGAGTCGATCCGTCTCGAGTTTCTAGGATCGATGGGTCGATCCGCTCGAGCGGAAAGGGAACGCGATGTCGTAGTTATTTCGCGATCTCGGGAAATAACTACGAATCCGCGGCCGGCCGACACCGTCGTTTCTCAAAACGTCGAATGCCGCAGCCTCCGTCGCGGGATGGACGAGGATCGCTCGGATTCGCGGATGTCGGCAGAATTGCCGCGAGCCGTTCTTCGACCGAATGGGAGGAAAAACGCGACGAGGGAGAAACGCGAGCTGGGACAATGCGCGTTTCGGAGGAAGCTGGACTCGCGAGATGAAAGTCCCCGGCGAGGGCGAAGGAATTCTCAGGATTTTATCGTTTTTATTCCCATTTCAGGAGTCTGGGCCACGGTGAAGGACGGAGCTGAAAACGCTCCGCCCACGGTGGAGATCTTCGAGAACGAGACCGTCCTGTTGCCGTGCTACGTCGACAGCATCGGTGAGGGCGTCGGAAGGGAGTCTCAAAGTTTCGATCGAAATCGCGAAGCGACGTCGTTCTTGCTCGCCGATAAGTGGACGTCGCAATCCGGCGATATCGTCCGTCTCTCCTCGCGTCAATTTCTCCCCGGGATGCGATCGGTTTCCGAATTTGGCACGTCCTATAAGTAATTAACAATCGCATCGATGTGTCCGATGAAACGTTTTTAATCGCGCGTTAGAAGCGGAGCAAACGAGCGGTCGATGGAAACTTTGAGCCGCGAGTTATTTTTTTTTTTTTTGCCGATCAATCGACTCGATGCCCCCCTACAGGTGTTCCGACGAGGGTACGATGGTGGCACGAGGACGTCCTAGTGGCGGACACCAGCGAGGTGGTGCCGAGAGTTCGCGTCAAAATGTGGGACAACAGGAGTCTCGAGGTCTCATTCATCCAGCGCGAAGACGCCGGATTGTACGTGTGTCAGGCCTCGAGACCGGCACCTTGGGGACACGTCACTCAGGTGCACGCCATCAGAGTTAAATGCAAGTATCGGCCGACCATGTAACTCCGTAAAATCTCTATGACCGTGTCCTCGCGCAGGTCCTGTCAGACCTCCGATAAAGGGCAGATCGATTTCGCTACTACCCGAGCCGCGAAAAAAAATTTCGGAAAAATCGTCCGGGGTTTCCGAGGGTCTCCTCGATTTTTAACAAACTACCCACGGCATCGTAGTTACCGAGGAATCGAGTCGGCGAGGAGTTTTTAGGATGAAACGCGAAGATCGAATTTTTCAGAGGCGTCGGAGGGCACGTAGAGGCCTCGAGATGGTTTCGAAGTAGAGGAGGGAATCGACCGGTCCCATATCCAACTCGGGGGCGATTGGATTTTGCTTCCAATATCTTGCCGTGGGCGACCGCGGGTACAATTGCGGCTTTGTCGAGCTCCTTCGGATCCGCGATGTCTACGGGTTTAACGAGACCCGGAATATGTTGTTGCAGATCCGCCGAGTGTCCACACGATCCCCGAGTCGGGCGAGCTGGAGGTGAACATGGGCGAGAACGTCGAGATGTCCTGCGTGGCGGAAGGCGTTCCATTTCCGATAATTACCTGGAGATCAAAGGTAGGAAACTCGGGGCTGATCGGCAATTTCTGACGGTCCCGGAACCCTCCTTCTCCTTTCACGTTTCGCACCCTCGTGTACCCTGGTGCAAACTATCTTGCGTAACGCTGATAACCGCGAATCCATCCAAGTGGGTGGAGGGTTCGGAAGCGGCGTTTCCAGAAGTATTAGATTGAAGAATACGTTCCCGCCATTTTTAACGTAACGTAATTAAAACGGCGAGAATTTATTCCTCAACCTGATACTTCTCGGCTTGGAAATGTTCGATTCGGACTAGCGCCATAAAAAAAAAAAGGTACGCGTGGGGCGAGAGAAAACGGCAGTAAAAGTATTATCGGGCGGCGTATCGTGCAATTTGTCAGACGGTAGGTTTTATGGCCGAGTCTTTACTTCCGACACTGACCTAGGATACGCTCCCTCGTAATGCGCCGTTACCAGCGGCGCTGCATTTTTTCGCCTTGCGTGTATTTACATTTTTATGACCGATCAATCCCTTTGCGACCCAATTTCTGCCTCTTTGTGGGAAATCCTTTGAGAAAGAATTTATAGCCGGATGTACTTACACCCAGGGGGAAGACATGCACCTTCTGGACCACAGGGCGAGGTTGCAGTTCAATGCTGAAAATCGAAGTCTCTCCGGTCGGTACAGCTGCATCGCGAACAACGGCGTAGGAGAGCCTGCGGTAGCTCACATCAATTTGCGAATCAGGTGTAAGTGCGCTTTAAATTTGAGAATTATCTGTACCCGTTTCAATGGACGTTACGGTGCAGACGGTGCATCGTTTTACGATCCGAATGCTTGGAAGGAGGCGCACATATTTCCCAAGTTTGGAGACCGACGCGAGAGTTAGATTCGGTTTCGAGGAGCACGTTGGGCATAAGTGCATAAGTGCATAAGTGCATCGCAACAGCGGGCGTCCGCGGCTTGCAATAATTACGATTGCGCAATACCGATCGTTTCGTAATGCACATTGGGAACGTATACGCATGGCAGCGCCCTAACTTACTGCGTTCGAAATTAATCGACTTTAATTACGACACTGCACGGCCAGATGGCAATCATGTAAATCGCGACTCGTCGAGCGCACCAGCGACAATTACAATTGAATTAGTAAATTGCATTGCAATCGTCTTCTTCGAGCTTTCAAAGGGCGGATGAATGGTCCAATTGCTCGGATTGCGAGGACGTTACACGGATCTGACGAGTTAATCGGCGACCTGAATGGAAAAACGAAATTAGTCGAAAGAACCTCGCGAGTTTAACGAGTTCCAACTATCCGAACGCGCATAAATGTAATTACGGTATCGGTAGCGCGAAAACATTGATAGGTGCGCCTTGAATCGGAGCCCTCCGATGCGAAACGTCGCATTTGTTTTCGGATTTTTTAACGATGTGCGTACTCGTTGAAAAGCTGAGCAAAACATTTAATCGCGTCTCGTTTGCATAGATAAGCCAGAAATAGAGGCCCAGAAGACCTGGGTGCACGCCTCTCCGGGTCTTCGGGCACAACTCCACTGCAAGGTGTCCGCCTGCCCGGAAGCACAGGTAAGTTCCTCGGATTTACCTCGGCGTTAATAGGGAGGAATTGAAACTTGCCAACGTCGGTCGAACTCGTAATTACTTTTGCCCGAGTGAGTGCCTTTACCGTAGAAGTCCCGCGAGATCCGCCATCGCGATCGCCGTTTTTCTCAGTGGGAGGAAAAAGTGCAAGAGCTCCCAAAACTCGGCGAACCAATCGGATGACGTCGCCAATCTTCGATCCAATCCAATCTGAAACTTATTCGAGGCGAACGAAAAATGCTACGGTTAACAATGGGCGAGGAAGACCCTTGCAAAACGTAGAATCGACCGTTTCGATTTCCCCCTTTATGTGCAGGTGGAGTGGTTCTTCAAGGAGGAGAGGGTACGATACTCGGCGCGGGTCCTCAAGTCCTTCTCCTGCGAGGATCACAGCTTGATTATCAGGAACGTGAGGGACGAGGACTACGGGTACTACCTCTGCAGGGCATCGAATTCTCTGGGGATCACCGAGAAGGAGATCGAGCTCTCCGGGGTCGCCAATCCTGCGGTCTTCAAGAAAGAGTCCCACGTCATCTCCAGGACAGCTTACAAGCTCATCTGGGAGGTGGACAGCTACAGCCCCATCATCGGCTACCAGCTCCTGTTTCGCAAAAGAGTGGTTGGTCCTTATCCTCGAACCGTTTTTTTTTCCCTTAAATCGAAAAGTCGAAGTTCATCTCCAACCTCTTGAGACAGAACGGGAGACACGGAGATTGGCGCAACGTCTACGTCCCGAGTGAGAGGGATGCAATTGGCTCGGTGCATGCTCACTCGTACAATTTGACCGGCCTAGCCGAGGCGACTCATTACGAGGTGCAAGTACTCTCCAGAAATCGGTACGGCTTGAGCAGACCGTCGAAGATCTTCAGCTTCGCGACCCCTGGTGCTCGTAAGTCTTCCCCTCCTCTCCTGACGTATCCCGGTAAGAGTGATTCATTCGTTTTCCTTCTCTTTTTTATGAAATTCTGCCGTGCCCACAGCAGCCGATAAAAATGGGATTTATACGATAGATAACGTCGTGGACGACAAGTCGATGCCAGGTAGGGGTATACTCGTTTTAATGACGATATCGTGTAAACGAGCCATATCGTCCTTAATTATTCCATTTTTTTCTCTTCTCTTCAGTGGTCGAACTCGCATCGATGTCGCAACACTCGTACGGAAGTGCAGCATCTCTTGGACAACGGAAGACTTTGATGGTAGTCCTTCCCGTAGTTTGTTTCGTTATTAGCGTCCTAGCGATCGTCTGAGACTGACTTTTAAATTCACATTAATCAGTCAATGAATATTAATAAGGGAACGACGGAGGGAATACGTTCCGGCTGAAAATGCTACACAGAAATCGATAACCGCTCGTTCCTTTTTTATCGGTCCCTGTCAGAGGAATGTTCAACCGAGAATCCCGAGTAAGATATCGGAAAATCTCGACAGACTTGAAACAATAGACGTAACGCTTATGGAGTAACGAGTCGAAAGGTAGAGATACCGATTCACGCGAAGAAGAAGCAAACGAGGAAGTTATTGGGTCAACGATAAGTTCTAAGCTATCTACCGGAATGTATTTAAATCCGACTCGCTCAGGCTACTATATAAAGGTGTAAATATAGGGTGTGTAGTGAATAATTTGTACTTGCATGATTTGTTACGGATGGCGAAGGGAAGGGAACTCGTAATTTATGTTTAATTAAGTCAGTAGTTTACGGTGAACAAACGGTTAAGCGAAGGCAGGATCGTCACACCGACTGCTTCGTAGTTTTGTATTCGGTATTACCGCGGGACTGTAAAAGCAAGTTTACGCAATCGTCATTCTTTTGTTTGTCCGGTGTGCCAATATCAATCGCTGCGCCGTGCAGGGTGTACGGTCGAATGAAATAAACTGAATAATCACAAGTCACGGCAATATATGTATAAACGTTTTATATTTATTCAGGACTCCTTATGGACTAATTTTTATACTCGTTACTATAGTTTCGTCATACGCCAAGGTTTAAAATCAACATACTTCCCATCGCGTTACATATAATTAACATAGGCCGTTCTTCCAGCATTACGCATCGTTTCTAATGGAAACGTTCAAAGTCATACATAAATTCGATTCTAAACGTTGGATCGGTCAACTAACCCGCGAATGACGCTTAATACAATAAAACTGACAGAACTATAAATATGTTCTAATGCATCTTTCGATGAACCATTTGATAATAAGCTTAGCGTACAATCGAATTCGGGCCATGGCGAAACAGGATTGACTTGTATTCACGATAATAAGCAATGTATAAACACTTACTTGTGTAAAACAAGAGATACAAATATCGAAAAAAGTTCATGCTATATCGGGCTATCCTCGTAACCGGTAACAATTACTTAAAAGACCGTACCAATTGTCATGGTACAGTAAGAACGTTATGTTACATTCCCAAAATGTAGACACTTTTGCTTTAGTCAGTTGCCTGGTAATTTGTACGAAGTGAACCGTAGTTAAACATTTGCTCATACATTATTCTCCACTGTACATAGTTTACGCAAACATACTGAACTGCTCGGTCGTGTACATATATCTATATAAAAAAGGAGTTTCACCATGAATGGCAACGGGAAACTTTACAACAAATCTTTCATTACACGCATCAACTGTACCGCGGTAACGTTTCCGCGCGTCCGCGCCAAATTCATTCACCATGCGTTTCTTTTCCTTCTCGTTATTTTTTCGAGGCTTCTTATTTTGATTTCCACATTTCGTAGAAACGGTACATTGTAGAGACGCATGGCTGACGTTATATACTACCTCACGAGACGTATCCATAACAAGGCAATCTTGTAATTGAATTTCTTCCCTCGTATCGTTTTAATAAATTCAAAGAGACCGTCAAAAATCTGTAAACGAGTACTTCGAAAAGCACTTGAAGTACATTTAAAGCAGTTAGAAAATTTGACGCATAGATATCAGCGTTCGTTTAGATGACATAGTGCGAGATAGTGCTACACCACATTTTTATATAAATCGTTATATCGAAGTTTACGTTGTGCCCTGTGCTAAAATGTTGTCCAAGTATTAACTCTTCGGGTACTCGATCCAAATCTAATCAGGGAAAAACTACTAGGCTTAGTGCTGTTTAGACAATTAACGATAATATTGGATTTAACTGTCGATACTAATACAGATAATCCCTCTCGCCCTGGTTTCGTCTCTACAGGCAGAAAGTACCTAAATGCCGAAGCCAATTTTTCCTTCACGTGTTCGTACGACTAAATTTTAGGGAAATTTTCGGAATATATTAATTACCAGTTAACATGACAGGACACATTAGAAAAAGCCGTATTTATTGTATTTTATTAATTTTTGACAAACTTATCTCCGACTGCCCTCCTTCGAAAAATGTGACACAGCCGTGTCTTGCACCATGCCTTTCGTTAAATGGATACAATAAAAACGATTAATCATTACGAAAGTTTGTTCTATTCGACGCTTTGAGTGTACCATAAAATATCGGACGCGCCTTATCGATATTCGACACTTGATTAACAAATGAAACATACAGATAAGTATTAGTTTGCGCCAACATATGTGCCAGACCCTAACTGTGCCAGTTCGCAACTAAACCGTATTCCCGACATCCTTCCATACGATGCACCCAAAGTCAATATATCGAATACAACTTGTAAATGTTGTAAACCTTGTACTTGTATAGAATTATTAAAAGCAGGATTTCATTAAAAGTTACAGCCTCGATAAAACGTATTTGCTGTGTAACTTTGTGTATACGTTATACTCACCAGCCGAATTCAGTCAGTGCCGAAAAATAACTTAGCAGAATCGACCTTTTTACGAGAATCCGTAACATGATTCACCCTCAAAGTTAGCCGAACGCTTGTACAACAAAGCGCATCTGCAGGCGAATCGTTCTAATCTACTCGTCTCGTATAATACGTTTTGACGTCTCTTCGAGTTCTAAGTTAAAAAAAATAGCGCTGGATATATTCCTAACGTAGCAGATGCGTTGTACTTCGATGCAATGGCGAACCTTGAATTTTGCGCGATCTTCAAAGGCGCTGTTTCTGCTAATTTATTTGCAATATACACTTTTTGCTTTTCACTCAACAAGCTTACACGTGTTACGATAACGTGAAATTATGCAAAATGTACCGTTTAATGAAGATCCTAACCCTTGATCGCTAGAGATGACTGGTGGTAGTTGCTCTCGAAACTCGACATTACTGCATGGTATCACAGATTCAATCCTGGGCATTGGTATAATTTAAATTGCTTCCCGGATACGTATATTTAATTCTATGACTACCGCTGAGGACCTTCGTGTCATTAGTCACTGACCTAAATAAGTCGTAACGGTAATATACAGGAAAATGTATCATGTTGAAAAAAGGAGCAGAATTTGACTTTACCGCACAGTGCATCTCTTGGGGGAAATATCAATGTATGTCACCACTGAATTGCATTGACTTCCGAAGTTGTGGAATTACGAAACTCTGTCACTCGGTCTGGCTTGACTCCTTTTGAAAGACAGTAATTCTATCGAAGACAAATTGTACCGGTCGTGGAACCGACTCTTCTAAGATCAGACACTTCATCCGATATGCATTGATAGTTTCCGAATCACAATAGATACGAACCGATATTGACATTTATCTTTAATCTGGAATTGCGTCCTATATGCATTCAGAGATCATTGCCTATTTTCATTGTTTCAACCCTAAAACTTCAAATTTAATTGCTACTTATACATACAATTCGTGGTTCAACAGCAGCTTTCCTTGTTTGATTAAAGTTTAGTAATAAATAAACTACCACCCTATAAAACGATCAATAAATCAAGGGTCGAGGTTCTTCGATCCAAATAATACCAAAAGTGGCCTCCCAAATGAAATTTGTTTTTTCGTGTTTCACTTCTACTAGTAAAAATGTATGGAATATTTTACAATTCTATGATTCGCTTTTTGACTTAACTGAAAGATTGTGCCAGTAGATACTTTAGTATGCTGTAGAGTAAGCTGCAAAAAATGTGCACAAGGTGAACGTAATCTATGGCTTTTTACACTCTATTCTTGTATTCGTATGTCTGAACGATACAGTTAACAATACCGAACGACTTATAAGAGGCAGCACCTATGTCTCCTACGCCCAGAATTCCCGGCCCGCATACGTTTCCGTTTTTCTTTCCCTCTCTGCTCTTTGTCTTTTCGTATCTCTCTCACCTATAAAATCAGAAAACAAACGTATACAAACATTGCCTTTATTTTGGTACAAATGGCAGTCGAATTTTACTTAATACATACCAACGTATAAAAGGCATCGTCGACTCCCATTCTTGTTTTAGCAGAGGTTTCAACAAACGGTACACCATACTGACGTGCCACTTCTCTTGCTTGCGTCATATTAACGGCCCACATTTGTTGAAGGTCACATTTGTTTCCGACCAATACCATGGGAACTTCCTCTGCATCTTTTACCCTCTTAATCTGTTCTCTATACGTGCCTATGTCCTAGAAAAATCGCACGTTTCATGTTAGTTAGATCCTTCCGAGTAGCCTATGGGGTATCAGTTGCATTCATTTTTCAGATATTGGCACAACTTACTTCAAAACTTTTAGCAGAATTAACAGCGAATACCAATAAAAAACCTTCGCCTGTTCTCATATATTGATCTCTCATAGCACTGTACTCTTCTTGACCAGCTGTATCTAAAATATCTAACAGACAAGTTTCTCCATCTACGACAACCTAAAAATTAAATCGTTAAATTAAAGATAGGCAATAATTAATCCAATAAATGTATAGAAGAAACAACATTTTTAAATGAACTAAAAAATGATTAACTAGCTTGCCTGTTTTCTATAGGAGTCCTCTATCGTGGGATCGTACTCGTCTACAAAATGGTTCTGAATCAACTGAATGGTAAGGGCAGACTTTCCAACACCTCCAGCTCCTACTACCACAAGTTTATATTCCGTCATAGCAACTTATTCTCTACCGATTATGTAGAATAACGTTGTCTATCTATTGCTTTTACACTACCTGTAAAATAATTAATTTGCATGATTTACTATGCTTCTACATTCAAATGCTAGCATTATTTCAAGCTATCACGGAGTCATCAAGTTACGTTATTATTCCTAAGCCTTCGCTACTGCTTTGCAAGAACGACTTAGTAACTCATTAATTTATACCGTTTGAGTCATCGGTTGATTTGCTGTATTAATCTCTACTTGTCATTTGTCTGTCTCTAGTGTAGCTGACTCATGTGAAACTGGATAAAACAGGAATCACAATTGGAGAAGCTCGCTAAGGCTAACGATGCCTAAGCATCCTGGATAACGGCGTTAGAAAGATGCACATAAGAAAAAGGATCTCTAGGAACTACAAAGAAACTTACTAAAAGTAGTGCTTTACGGGCAGTAACCAATGGTTTCACAAAATGGTGAATCTGGATGTAGCAAAGTGCCTAAATAATGGCTTGAGAAGTGAAAAAACTAAGGAATGCGTGGAATTTCATTTCAATATTTACCAGAGAAAATTCTGTTGATTAAAGACATGCACCGATTTATTTAATACACAAGCAAAAGTCAAATGACGTGTCCACATCTGTAAAGCCCGTCGTATCGTCCGTAGTTCGTCTTACTAGCGGTTAAAACGGCTTTTGCAATCGCGCCGGTTTGGCTGTACATTTATAATAACGAGTACTTGGTCATTAAGATTAACTGGATTAAACCATCTGGAGAGAAGCATCAATGTTGCCAACACGCTCCGCGAGTAATCAAAAGGGAGTGGACCGAGGTATCGGCAGAGGCCGGTGGTTCGCTCTCTGTCCTTATCTCGGCCATTTCGATTAGCCTCCGCATAAAATCATGCACTCACTTTTTACAATGTTTTGGCCGAACCTTAGACGGTTCGTTATCTTACTAACTAACTATTACAAGAACTGGATGAACATGACGGGAAAGCAAAAACCACACGGCAAAAACTCTGATCACAGACTGCCCGCAGTTCACTGCAGTTTTGCCAACGTATGAAGAAAAGAACTCACTAGATGGCTTGTTAAATATGGCCAGAAAAGCACTAGATGAAAAAATCACTAAATTGTTATATGGAACCAGGAACAGAGATGAGTTCGGAGATTGCTTACGGACAAGATCGCGCGATCGCGTTCAGTGTTGTCCTCGGTGGAAAATGCAGGCGGCTAATGCACTTACCCTCAGTGGCGGCTCAATTCAGGGACTAAATTCATCACTGCTCCCAACTTATCCTCATTTATATAACGTACTCATTTTGTTATTGTTCAATAAGTTGCTTTATTACATTAATTATTTTACAGTTTATTATACATCAGGTACCGCAAGTACATAAGTTCTCTCGCTCGTTTTTTACGTTACGTTTACGTTACCATCACCAGGCTGCACCATGTACACGAAGAAGCCATTCATGACCGCCAATGTACAAGAATTTCCATCCCGTGATGAAGTTGATACTAGACGTCAGTGGTTCCACTGTTTCTTTATAAAATAAAGTTCTAGTTCCGTCTTAGTTCATTGATTTAACCTGCTGGATACTGAGTTTTAAACTTCCACGTGACAGTTGATGGACAATTTGGCAGTTGTGTAGATTGTAATTGATTACAATCCAGCGAAAACTCATGACAACACGGTTACTCGCAATGTAAATGATAAAAACAATGTAACGATTATACTTTTGTCATATCAGAGTACTAGTGATGGAAAAATGAAGTTTTAAGAAAAATTTCTATTATACAGTCGCTGTAACAATTTCAGTAACATATCAGTACGAGTATAATTCTGAATATCAATACTGAAGCAAATATGACGAACGGTTGATTAGATTATGAAATTCAACAATCGCGTATGTGTAAATTTGATTAAGTGAATAGATGACATTTCACGATATTAAACCCGCGGATTTTAAATACTAAATTTATGTGTGAAGATCTCTTGAAGACTCGTACTACTCGGAAATCTGTTAGATGTAAATCTATTTTGAAAATGGAGGAAGCGGCTAATGAAAAAGTCGGAAGCCCAAAAAACATGGCTGAGGTATGATGTCACTGTTAATTAAATTTATTAATTGACTGTATTTAATTGAAAATATTATATTAATAGTCATTGAATTTCTATGCTCCATGAACTTTTTATTTCAGGCAAATGATGTAGGTAAGAAGATAACAAAAGAGGAATCTGTTGATCAGTTGAAATCTCAGCTTGGCATGCTTATGAATTCATTAGCGACACTTTCAGCAGAAAAGTCAAAAATGGAAGCTAATTTTCAAGCTGATAAGAAGCATTTGCGTAGTGAACGAGAAGAGGTATTTAATAAATCACTACATTTAGTATATAAAAAAAAGCATGTGTTTATACCTTATTATTTGTGTAGTGTGAAAACGTTATCAAAGATCTGAAAGAAAAACTGAAACGTGCACAAAGTCACATACACTCCGAAGTGGAGCATGTCAAATATAAATTAATCATGGAGCGTCATGAACGAGAAAAGGAGCAAGCTGACCATTCAGCAATGATAAAGTAAATAGACACGTTGAATAAATTTGACCTCAATTAATTTATAACTGATTATTTTATATTTTATTTGCAGAGAACTTCAAAGGTTGCTTAATAATGAAAGACGTGCAAAGGAACAGTTAGAACAACAATTAAAAGAAGTAAAAAATCAAGTATTTAATAAAGTACAAAATAAAATCTTGGAAGCTGAGTTGGAGGTTGTTAGAAATAAACTTCAAGAAGCTGAATCAGCAGCCAAAGAAACTCCACCGCTACTCCTTTCATTACAAGCTGAAATGGCTGCAATGAAACAGCAGCATCACAAGGCAATTTCAGAAGTAAGTTCAAGTATTGCTATAATTTTTTTCCTGACCTTAATATTCCAACGACTTTTTTGTATTGTATGAAAAATATTCTGCTAATGAAGGAACAAAAAAGAGCAGCGGCTGCTGAACAGCAAGCTCGAGCATTAGCGATGACACATGAGGCAAGAGTCGTAAGCTTAGAGGCGCGATTAGCAGAACTTTCTGAAATAGTTGGAGAGTACGACAGACTAAGATTACAAGATCAACAAGCTATTCAAAAATTAAAAACTCAACTGACTAATTTACATGAATTGGGAAACAAGAGCACAAAAACAAACCTTGATAATGATTCGGAGACGATCGCGGCAAAAATAAAAGTGTTGTATGGCCGACTTTTAGATTTAGAAAATAAAGAAAACAATGTATCGTGCATTAAAGGTAAAAAATATTGGACTAGATTTTATATTGTTGATTCAACCATAAATCTATTTCATGTGCTTAAATTTCCAGAACTGCTAAATAATTTAAATCTTCGTGAAGCAAATGAAGACGTATCATATAAAGAAAAGTATGAACTCCTTCAGCAAGAATTTGAGGAATATAGGCAACAAACAATGACCAAAGATAATTTTCTGAAAGATTCCCAAAATGTAATGCAGCGATCTTGTTCTGCAAAAGATTCGGACGAGAAAGAACACAGTAAAGTACAGTTGTCTCTTATTAAAACACACTGTAAAAATTTGGAGGAAAGGGTACGAGTGTTGAACGCTGAAGTGGCCAATAAAGAGACTGAAGCTAAAATGAAATTAGAATACCAACAGCAGGTAGCATATAGTAACGCATATTACGGGATTAAAGACCGATACACGTGTATTAAATGATGCGAACTTTCAGCTTCAGCAGGAAGAGCGTAGAAAATACGAAAAACAATTACTTAAGAAAGATAGCGAATTTCGCGGTCGCATTTCTGCTCTGGAGCAACAATTACTGCGCCAACGACAAAGGTCCGTGGCTCTGATCGAAGAAAAAGAACAGGAAATTATTACGTTGAAGACATCTTTTCAAGCTTTACTGCCAAAGAAGGAGTCCGTCTCGGCTGAAAATTCTGACGCTAAGCCGTTCGATTCGAACGTGTCCGAGCCGGCTGCAGACTTAGTTACCGGCCTCCTGAATAAAGATAGTCCTCCCATGCTGCACTATGCGCAAGAACTTGCTAGAAGAGAAGTTCAAGTATCGGGTCTTCGAAAGTCTAACACGAAATTGGAAGCAACATTGCGGGAAAAACAGAGGGAGCTTTTTCACGAAGCGGAGAGACACAAGGGCGAAGTAAGCAGGCTACAAGCACAGATCGAAAGGTGAGTAATCTATGGTTACATGACCGGATTAAATGATAACTGTTATATTTTATTCAGGCTAGAAGCTTGTAAATCCAGAGAAGGAGCTAATCTCGAGTACCTGAAAAATGTTTTTGTAAATTACCTAAGTACCAGTGATACATCGAGTAAGCGACACATGTTGAATGCCATTTCAACGTTACTCCGATTTACCCCCGACGAAGTACAGAAAATTCGACGTTTTAAGTAAGTCCATGAAACAGTGAAGCTAACTAAAGCCGAATTCCCGATCCGTTCTTACATCAAGTTATGCAAAAATCGGTAAAAGGGAGAGGAAATAAAAGCTAATTGAGTTGCACTATTCTAGGAAATCTAGTTTCCTGATATTAACCAATATATAGTATGCACATTTGTAGACAGTTATAGTCCTTAAATTGGATGATGTAAAAATCAGAAGGAACCTAGGATATAGAAATAATAATGATTTAACAGAACTATTTAGGGCTCAAATTATTTCACCCAGCACTAATCCGTATTTCTTAATGGAGGAATTAGGGTGAATAAAGTAAAACCATTAATGATAAAGAAACCGATACTTGAAGTATATAAAACCATATAAAATGTTAGGAACGTCTTTCTACTTTGGATTAGTGAAGCAAGACAAGAGAATCGCCACTGCTTTAAATATTATTCTATAAGTATTTATACATGTTCGTACATTTCTCTATTCGACCTATTACATATCAATGCTTTCATTCATCTACAAAGAATAACCATATTATTGGCACTGAAAAAATATTCGCAAGCGGTCATTTTTATATTCAACGATATCTTCAGGGTACGTCACGAAGTGTTAACCGTGCCGTTATACAATGATAACTTCATTTATAGTAATAATATTGATGATAGTAATAACGAATTTTATAAAGAAGCGATTAATATACTTAATCTTTTATTTCGATTAAAATGGCCTGAGTTATATACAAAAGATGCTGGCTAATGACGGCTGTGCCTAAGCTGTGCAAATTCACATTGTAAAACGGGCGGAGACAACGTAGTAGTGGTTGTAGAGAAATTCGTAATTACTATACAAATTTACTCATTTCTGAAGTATCATTCTCCGTTAAACGAGCCATTAAACAACGATCGCATTGATTTTCTCTGAATTCGTTCGATTTAACGACAGGCTCATAAGAAAGCGAACGGATTGTTACGTGATATTAAAGTGTGATAGGCGAATCTCATATTTTTAATCGTAAATTTCATTCTAACATTCATAGCGGCTTCTGTTGCTCGACCGAGCACCTGTTAGTGTCGGTATAAATCCACATAGCACAAAACATCTACAGCTCGTTACACGATTTTTACAAGATCCAAAAATATTAGACGATACCGAACGTTCGAAATGTTTCGTGCACCCGAGTTTCTTCTAAATCATATTTCTTTTAACACGTCGAAATGGTCGGTATCGAAAATTTAGGTAATTGGCCAATACGTGCGCGGGACGGATATCTAATAATTGAAATGTAATAAAATCTCTGGTAAATATTTATCTCTGCTCGTCCCTGTAAGTTTGGAAAATTTGTTGAAAAGTTTTGTTTCCCTCCCTGCGAAAATGTATACGCTTTTCGCAATACACATTTCTCACGGCTCGTTAATTAGCTTGTGCTGTTACTGCCACGAGTCAAGTACGTATATTAAATTACGTAGAGTACGGGGGATATCTAAACATTGATTCAACTCGGCAATTCTATTTTTATCCTGGTTCTCATGAATCGACTAGATAAACCTGGATACTCTCGTACGACAGACGAATGTAATTAGCTTCATTTTTTTTTTTTCACCGTACCTTCCTATTGTATGCAAAACAAGACGATATACACAAATCTGAGCAAATAGCTGCAGGTCTGTGAATATTCCAAGTAAGACGGGCGGGATATGTTTAACGGAATACGATTGCAAAAGAACCCAGCATTTTCATATATATATATTTTTTCCCCTTTAGCACACGTTGCGAGTACCGATCCTGATCGCGAAAATGCCTCCTAGATATTGTGCTGCGTGGAAAAATAATACTCTCAACGGTAGATATAACCCCCTTGCGACCCCCGATCACATATTTCCGAAGAGTAAGCGATGCAGCGTTGGACTGCACCGAAAGGCAACTATCTGACCTGTATAATTTTGAGTCGAATAATTATCACCTGCACGCGCCTTCGCGCGCACGTACGTATATACTTGTCGGTAGATTACGATTAAAAAGCTGAAGATTCAATCGGAACACTCTGAAGGCATATTACGTCTATCGTTGGTATTTTTCCAACCTCAGAACATCGGCGATTGTCAACACAGATTACATCATTTTATTCGATAACACTCGTTCAATACTTCATATCCGGACATCGGTGTATACAATATATATGCTTCTGTAATATACATCTGATTATATTTTCCTGTATAATATTCAAGGTTTCGTCCGTTTTCTTTCTAGTCGCATCGATACGCTACTTCTCTTACGGCAAGTGGTAGGATAACGTTAACGGTACAGAGGCCCTCGATGACGATTCGCTCGTTCCAGATTAAACTCAACCAAAAAAAAGGAAAAAAAAAAGAAGAAACGTCTTACGTACCTATCGTAATTTTTTCATGATCTTACGATTACTCGTGCTAATCGGATACATCCCTAAAAAATACAGTATTCCTTAACTGCTACGTTTTCGACGCATTTCACGAAAATCGCCCCGACTCCACCGAGACTTCACCGTAGTTGAGAAACCGAGTGATTGTTTTCTCTTTTTACCCAATTGAATAGCCGCCGACATTACGATCGATCCAAGCGTTCGCGCAAACGATCTCGGTTACATGTGCATTGAAAAAAGTCAAGAGGACCTCGGATCGGGTACAAGAACGTTTTTATATTGCATTGTTTAACCAAAAATATCTGAAAGCGTGAGTAGCTATCCAAGTTATGAGATAACTTTTTCCATAAATTGTTCTTTCCTCCAGAGGACCGTTGAAATGTGTTCCGCGCAAGTACAATTAATTTCAGGCACATAGAGAGTTGCCCTTTAATGAATGAATTCCGTTCTAAATCGCTTCGCGGTTGACTTAGAAATGATATTTACTCTTCGGTTTATGGATGCCCTTTCCGATTTATTCCTTTCCCGCTGCACCACGTTTATGCCCGCTTTCCCCATTCGCAAACACTTCATTTTGTTTGTCCCCGACAATTTAACTGCATTTACTAAGATGAATCGAATTCGATTTATCGGAGTACTTAAAACGTTTAAAAATATTTAAAAAGGATTCCGAAGCCTAATTAATTTGAAAACCAGTTTCATTAAATTTTTGACGCTGGCAGATTATCCGGAACCCGCCACGATACGCTGCGTAAGCAATTGCTACATCACTCGTTGCCAAACTGAATCCTTTCGATATCGACTCCTTTCTTTTTCTAGTGTCCTCTTGACAATTTTGCCAGATCCTAGCCGGGGCAACTACGATCGCGTGTCAGAGTGGCCGCATAGGCATTTTGGTCCGACGAGCTGGTTCTCGTGTTCGGGCATCGACTTTAAAATCGACCAGGACGCAATCGCTGATAAGACCACTTTTCGGCGGGGCAATTCAAGGGATGTAAGCACATAAGGGTCATTAAAATAACCAACGCGTACATTTTTACAAAGAACCGTTCAACATTTAAACGCACAAATTTAGTCGCAAGGATACGTGACGCCGATGCAAATTTAACGACAAATCTCAATGATAACCGATTAGAATAAAATCCTTCGCGATGGCAACTTACATCCCCGCGACCAAATGGTTCGACTCGAGGCCCGTCACCAATAATTCGAAGGAACTCGTCCTAGAAGACGAATTACGTTCGCGAGCCGTACCAGCGATTCGCAAGCCGAGTTTCCGATACTTAACGATACGGGACAAAAGACGAAGCGCACTTACGGCCGAGCGTCTCGAGGCTTCGGCGAGAGAAGCGAACGCGAGCTCTAGAATTTCGCCATTTTTTTCCTCGCTGGCACTATTTCCCGATCGGATTCAAACAAAGGGATACAATAAATATTTCTCGTTTATTTACATATGAGTATAAAGGGGGTGGAGGGGGAGGAGAAACCTCTAGCGACCGATTATCTCGTCGCGCAAATAATGCGGCTCGAAGGGCGTTTCTCAAGAAATTCGGTGGCCGTGATAACATACCGTGCAAGATACAAAGGCCTGCTGCGTGGGACGATTTTAATGCCGTTGCCAGAAACTTTTCTATAAAGTGTCAAATATATATATATATATCTATAATATATATCGATGGTATCGGCTCTCTCTCGTATCGAGTCCCCGGTCTTCCTCGAGTGTATCTTATATATACAGAAGAATATAATGCACTGACATTCAGGGTTACCTCGTCTCGCCTCTACGCGTCTGGTATTATTTTTCTTTACGTGATATATTTCTATAACATTATACTTGCTCGATATATATATATATCTCTATATATATATATCTATATATATGTAACAATTTTAAAAATATTTCATAATTAAACAAAGGACGATATAATATTAATAATAATTAATAATAATATATAATAGCAATTGATAGCGTAAAAGTACAGTTAACGCAAAATGATAAACGTATAAAATGTCCGACAAGAGAGGAGGGCGCAGTCGAAGTGCGGTTCGGACAGGAAGAGGGCAGAGTCGCCTGGGGAGGAAACGGCCGCTAGAGTCAGCCGCCGTCTTTTACTTTACTTCTGCATTTCTAGATCACAGTCACTTGGACGGCTGTTTCGTCGCGGCGCGAGTTTCCTCGCCATTTCTCAACTTCGATAGGAAATTCGGGAGCGAAGAAGAAAAGTAAACAGCGATATACATATAGATATTATGTAGACCTAAATCGCGGAGAAGAGAAAATATCGTGAAAAACGGAGAAGGAAGGGCGAAAGTAGCTCTAAGCAACCTCGAGAATCTTATCAATACTGGAAAATAGCTTACAAGTTTACACAAGTACAAAATATAGTGTTTTATTTCGTTTCTTTGAGCGGGGCAAGTACGAAGGGCGCTTTATCCCTGCACAGATAACGGGACCTTCTCGCGTTGTCAAGGTGCTTAATGAAATTCAAGGTACGAATTTTGAGCCTGACACTTCGTTGGTCGCACACCTTTCCGAAACGACGGCGCGTGCTACGAGTACTTTTCTTCTTTATCTAGATTCTTTTTCTTTTTTCTCTCTCCCTCTCTCGGAACCTGTGCGCGATCATCCGAGAACTCGACGAACGCGAACGGATATTTCTCCCCAGACTGGCGTTAACTTATCGGAAAGTTACTTAATGTTTACGTTAAAATCATGCAACGTCCTAAAAATCACATGTACCGCTTTCGCCACTCTTTTATGCGTTTTCATTCCTCTCAAGTGACCATTCGATCACTTTTAACATAAAAAATAGCATCGGGCCTCCCCGCGGATCCGTTCCCTATTAAAATCTAGATGATATAAAGATAGCAACGAAATCGCGACTCCTGCGCTTCCATCGTTTCGATTGGCAACGCGTCTTCGACCGCGTTGTTGCACGCTAATCGGATGATACGAGATAAGTACTTTGCAATGGAAGCCTAGTGCTCCATCGGAATCGTTGCATCGTAAGGTCGATCTAAATTTTCATAAGTACAGACAATCAACGCACGAGGCGTCGTTCTAAAAATATTTATTTATACAGGATGAGGCGTTCAACATCCGTAGCTGAGATTTTAACTTCGTTCAAGATGGCCGATCTTGGAAAATTTTTTTCAGTACATCGTTCAGCAACGAGCGCATATTTTCTCTTGACATTTGGTTCATTGATATCGTAGCCGATAGCGATCTTTCGAGTCGCGGCCTCGAGGGGAATTGAAATCATCTCAAATTCTACCGTATCTGCCAACTCTTCGACATAACAAAGTCAATATTGTTCGAGATGCAATTTAAGTACAAACGTTGGTGCCTCAGGCTGTATACCCGCGCGTAAACGGACGCGTACAAGAATGGGTTGAATATCGTCGATCGAGTTTCATATACCGTAACATGCGCCGGTTAACCCGAATTTCTCGAAATACCAAGTAAGAAAGATTTTCTAAAGACCGGTACAGGTGTCCAGGGTCCCTCTACTAGCCGCTGCTTGCCACCGTCACGTTTGACACTTTGTAGAAAATGAACCGGCGAACCGACGAGTGCCGAGGCAATGGCGCGATTACGCATTATGTACAAATAAAAGTGATTCGACACTTCAGGAGAGGGATCACTTTGGAGGTGGGTCGAGGGAGAAAAAAAAAGAACCGGACCATCCCCAGCACGAGGTCCACGACGTGTTAAAGCCCCGCAGTCCCGTAACTGGAATAACCTAATCCTGCTTGCGCTTTTACGATCGGTAATCATACTGCTACCCTAGAAATGATAACCCTACGTACTCTAGTGCTTCGATTATACTCCGATGTACATAATATATGTTCAGTTAGCGTGTCGAATGCTTCCTATTTACAAAATCTGTAGATAGACGGTCTTCCTATCCTAACTACAGTATGCGTGCCGTGGTGCGAGACCTCGCGTCTCTCTCAAAGTGCGCTTCCGTGAACATTCCATTAGTTACACATTATATTTTACAGTCAAATTCAACAACCTTCGCTAAAATTCAACGCACTCGGCCAATGATTTACAGCGTTTTACTCTCCACCTTAAAAAAAGAAAAGACGTAAAAGAATCGGACGTGAGAACAAGTAGGACCATAACACGCTAGACGCGAGGGCTACTGGTACGGGTAAAATATATCCAAAGCTCTAATAAAAAGATCCACGCACTGCGTACGATAATGAGTTATTCGCGAAACGTCTACCGTTTTTTGGAACGGTGGAAAAGAATCCGCCTTGGTGACGAAAATTGAAAGTAAAATACTCATCGTTGTCATGGCCAAAAAAAAAAAAAGAAAAATACAGCTCGTGGCCGATATAAAATCGCTTACCGCTACGATGGCCAAAAAAAAAATTGAAGGAAAAAAAAAGGACCAGGTTTAAAACATCCATAAAATATTTGGGAATACGTTGAACCTTAGCAAAGTTCTAAAAACAGTCGATAAGTACTTTCGGGAACATTGGAAACATTACATATTATTTATATCAAGTGTCTTCTAACAGATAATTCATTACTAACAAGGGAATTATAAAGCATGCATTCCCTTGCTTGTCGCCGCGTGACGGGCAATCCACTTCTATTATTTTTTTTTTTCCGTTTTCAATACGATAATCAACGAATCACCAGAAAATGTCTTTCGACGTTACGCCACTCGGTGTGGCAACTTTAAAAATGTTTTCCGTTTTCCATCCCATCCCTTCTCGTTATCTCACTCACTGAATCATATCTCTAGTCACGAGACATATATATATATGTACCACAGTATTTACACGTAACGTGCCTGTTGATTGCGTTACATAAATTTTGTGCAATGTTCACCGTAGCTTTCCTTCTATAGAGTTTCTCTCTGTTCAACTATAGTATGTATAAAGTATAACTAAGGTATATAAACTCTGATTTCACTTCATAATTTCTCCACTAATCCTAATACTCTCCGATTACAACGCTCTCCCTCTCTCTCTCTCTCTCTCTCTCACGCTATCTCATTCTATCTTACTCTCTTTCTCTCCATTTCTCTCTCTGCACTGGATCTCATAATATGTTCAACAATATTTAACAATGGCTTAGGCCTCTCCTAATCCGTTCGAGACGTGTTAAGTTACAAAAATCGGTTGAGCAACCTCGACGATGAGTCACGAGCGCGAATCGAAAGCTCTCGTACCCATTGACCGCTTGCGCCGAATCACCGTTCAATTTAGAATGCATGGCATACGGTATTGTCTTCGCCTCGTCGAGAGGAAAAACTCGCACTCTACCAAGTGAATAATGAGCGCTACGTCGTTATCACGTGCCGCGATAACGAGCACCGCGTTGACTTTCTGGAAACGTATCTGGGGCCTGAACTCGTTTTTAGCCACGTCGCGCACGCCTTCCGATAACATCGCGATGCGCGATATTTCCATATAAAGTTTATTTTTAGCAAAAATAAAATCCGAAAAACTGGCGCAAGTTTTCTATCGGCCACCGGCCCGCGATCTCGACTTCTCGCGGCCGAAAGTACTCAACGACGTCGCAACCGAGATTCGTACGTTAACACGCTGCGGGATGCTTCGCTAGATTCAGCTACCGTAATCTATACGAAAATTCAAATTGCACCGAAGCCTTACAGCACACTTTACGCATTGCAACGAGACCGTACATCAATGTTCATGTTTACCGAGTGAGCATTGCCTTCCTCAAAGGATAATGATGTACTCGTGTTGCGGAGTAAGGGGATGCATAGTATCACAGTTGGCACGTGAGCGCTAGCTACCACTGCTGCTTACTGGCAGTGAGAGTGGAGCACCCATCGAAGTAGGGGGAGCAGTCAAGGGTCCTGAAATGTCATCAGAGGTATCTCATCAAACGCGTTTCAATGGAGCCACGATAAACGAGGCATCGACCCTGCACTTTGTTTTATCTACTCAAGTAACGTTCGACACGCCATTACCACGTGGGACCTTGCGAGGACGAAAAGGGCTACGTAGGAAAATGTAGAATATTTCCCAGAATGGAAAGAGCATTACCAGTGACACTAGGAGATGGCTCCGAAACCGGAAGCGGACTGACGAGACTGTTCGCACTCATCGGAGTCGAATTGGCTTTCAGCTTCTGTCTAACTTCTCTAATCTTCAGCTGCAAGCTCATCTTATTTGGAAATATGTCCGAATGCTTGGCTTGAAATGTCGAGGTAGCTTGTGTAGATGGAAAGTAACCGTGTTCTTGAAACAACTGCATGACGAGTTGTCTTCGCTGCTCCAAAACCTTTCTGTGGCCTCGTTCGTTGTCCCCCCTGCCGACTCCTACCCCACTTCCCACTCCTCCTCCGGGGGTCTTTGGCGTTCGCGGGGAACTGGAGTCAACGTCTCCGACTAGATCGGAGTTCGCTCTATACGCCTCTACGTTGAAGTCCGGCCCGAAGAACGTGTTTCCGGTCAGTTTGACGCTCGTTGTTGACTTCGGCGTAGCGGATACCGACACGTCCGACTCGGCGTCATCCTCATTCACTGTGTGCGATAAATGGTCAATCACGTCGAATCGACTACGCTTTGACTGCCGATAAAAACGAAACGTATAATTACATGCAGATCTATGAGGTCCCTGTGAAGGTTTTTTACGGTAACCCTGTATGGACGACGACAGATTCGACCCGTGCAGACCGGAAGCCACCGAACCATGCGTGGACCCCGTAGGTGTACTCATCGTGATGGCGCTCGGACTTTGTATGTCCTCCGGTTTGAATTCTGGCAGCGACGAAAACTTCTCTTGGAAGTTCACTTGCTCCAGAACTCTGTAATCGTTTCAAATAGTCAGTTGCTGGTAATTCTCGGCATGGCTTATTAAATTATACGTAATGAGATGGAGGGCAGAGATTATTCTAGAATGCGGTATTTTACCTGTCCATGCCATCTTCCACGTTCTTTTTGAAAAACGAGCCTTTCTTGGTAGAAGGCGAGGGAGAAGCGAGAGGCTCTGGGAGGTTCTGCTGTTGCGTCTGCTCTGCGTTCTGAGAAACGTTCATCGGTGCTCGGTTGTCGGAATGCTGAGACGTCAGCGGCCCATGATCTCCCGCATTCGACGTGGGAGGCATTGCTATTAAACCAGAGTATCGCGTTAAAACGTTCGGTCGGTTCATTTTATGAAAACTCCACCAAGTGGTGGAACGATTTTTATTGAAAGAAAGGAACTTCTCTACATACGATGCACCGTGATTGAAAATATATTAATAGATAGAATAAATTACCCATTGATTGTCTCCTTTGCAGAGGTGCTCGGCCGAGTTGTGCCGGAGTTGGAGCAAGCATAAACGGTCCTTTATTCATTCCTACGTCGTTATTCGTATTTGAGGATTCTTCCATTGAATAAGACTTATTTGACGTATGATCACTGTTTCCTTGATTGTTATGAGGCGTATGCGGTGTGTGAGGCGTCGAGGGTGGTTTATGCTTTTCATTTACCACGGGAAGAAGAATGCTAACCGTGTCTTTCCTCTCTTGATCCGGTTTGATATTATTTACTGGAATGAAAATTTATTCAGATCGGTTAATTGCCTCTCTTCCAATGCACGCAAAAATTATATATTACTTGAGAATCATCTTTCGAGCCGACGTAGCGTATTTAAACTAACCGTAAAATTGAGCATGATTCTGATTCATGTGGCCATCGTTATTCTTCTCAGGTTCGGCAAGACGAGCAATGGAATGACCGATCCCCCGATAACTGGGCGTACTCGGATTTGACGTTGCAGCGGTGTACGATTTGCTCACGATAACACTGTGGGTTTCCACCTTGTTACCCGCAACTAAATTCTGCACGGACATATTTCGGCTACTGGCATCTATGCAAACAAGACACATTATTTGAAACGATCTCAAAGAACAATCATATGGAACGATTAGGTATGAAACGAAATTATTGTCTCACCGGAGATGGGTACGTGAAAGCCACAGTACATCCTAGGATGCGGTGGAGTCGGCCCGAGATACTGGGATCCCTGCTGCGGTTTTGAAATAGCCACCAAATCGTTATCGAGCAATGTAAGAGTGAGCGGTGGTTGATAGGGGACAGTTGACGTGGGAGACCGATGGACAGTACCTAAAGGCTGCAATGGCTGTTGTTTCAACAAAGCCATCATTGGTTTTGATCCAATCTGTTAGTATCGTTAATACTCGTTACTTAACTTAAAAGCTACTTTTAGATCAAACTAGGAAAAAAAAAACTGATGACTGTCTCTTATAAAAAAAAAAAAGATCAAATAGGACAGGCATCGACCTTCATTTTGCGTCGGGTCTTTATATCAAACTTGAGTTGTTTCCAGTAAATCTAAGCAGATACTGCAATTTTATTTATATTACAGCTAAATATAGCGGATTCAAGGCAACCCTAAGAATATAAATATATATTCAGAGGAATACCTCTCAAAATCGTATAAAACTTACCGAATGCAAAACAGGCGCAGCAGTAAATTTGGGCATGTTTCTCCCATTCTCGGTATGGATACTTGCCACCAGATTGCTTACGCTGTACTGCGTACTGTACTGCTGGTCGCTCTTCACAGGCTCTGGTTTCACAACTTTCGGAGACACTGGCATGGTTATGAACGCCCCACCTGTCGGTTGAAAACCTGATACACCAGTTGGATTGACTGGACTCTGGTACGGATAGGTTGTCGACAAGACCGATACTGTGCCTCCTTTGTCCATAGACGCATGATGGTACTTCGTCGTTGTCTCCATTCCCGAGGATAGCAAGCGTGCTACAAGAAACGAGTAATCTTCTTAACCGTGGAAGCGAAGAATTTTATTGCACGTCATTATTACTACAAAAACGGTGAACAATCGTTGTGAACAATCGCCCCGAGCATTACCTTTTATGGGTTTCGGTCGACAGGTTACTTCTTTCTTTAGATTCTGCCCTTCTCTCTTCTGCCCGCTCACCGGGGAGAACCGCGCCTGGGAAAAGCTATTCTTCTCCGAGTCTTCCTCCTGGCCGTCGTTATCGCTATCGGTTAATTTGTCTTTACACTTTAGATCTATCTCCGGTTGAGGATCCTCGCAGATGACCATCTGATCGTCATCGGACACGTTGCCGTCTTCTTCCTGCTTCACGTCGGAGTCCGTATTTTCAGCTTGTAAAGACATGTCGGGAACGCGACATGGGGGGTACGGCTGGTTGACGATCTGAAGCGTTAACGGATACACTCGATAATAAGTAAAGAACGCATTTCTCAAAGAGAACGGAAAAGAAGATTTTTACCTCTACACTGGGAGCATCATTGTAGACGGTCGCGATCGACACGGGTACATCGTCCGATGCTCTCGGCGTCAAGGGGACGTCATCCACCGGAGGTCCCATATCGGTTTCCTCTCCGGTACTATTTAGCTTTCCTCTGGACTCGCCTCCTTTGAAACTGGTCGTCGATGATTTTCTTCTATCTTTGCTGCACCACTTCCAATCCGGATGAGCTTTGAAATGTGCTTCCTTGACCTCCGAAGCCAGATCGTGGTACTTCTGTTTCTCCTCCGGGCCTAAAGCGTACCACCACTCTCCCAGAATTTTAGACACGGTCCGGTTATCCTGATTCGGATGTCTTTGATGAACCACCGCGCGATGTCTCTTGGAGAATATCATGAACGCGTTCATGGGCCGCCGAATCCTGTCCTTAGTCTGCAACATGCCAAATTCCCATGCGCGCGTCACCGTATTGTCCGGATAACAAAAAGATCGGAAAATATGAAGATGTATTCTTCCGGAAAGAATGGTCACCTTTAGTGGGCTGGGGGGCTCTTTGGTGTGCAAAGAACTGAGGGATTGACTGCGCCTCTTGTTAGCATTGGCCTCGATATCCGTGGGTATCGCCGATTCGGTCTCGAAAACATCATCGTCTTCATCCTCCGCGGGCGTAATGGGATCTGGTCCTGGACCGGGACCGTCCTCGTTAGGATTGCTTATGCTCATGGGGATCGGGGGTGCGCTCAGGGGTGGACTCAACGCCGAAGGTGGAGGACTCACTTCCGGCTGTTCCAGGACTGTCGTCTGCCAGGAAAAAGCTGCAATGAAATCCTTGGGTTAGTCGCGACGAATGTGGTTAGTAACAGCGTGGGAATAGCAGCTAATCGTACGAATGCTTCCATCGACATTTTCGCAATTCTGGAACTGCTGCTATGCCCCTAAAGTCCTCCGTGAGTTAGTTGATTAGTGCGGGTCGAGACATCGAATTACGAACGCCTAAAATTTCCCAAATCACCCGGAATTAATGGACGATTGTCTACGTGAACTCTAAACTTTTCAACCTATGATACGAGGAAACTACAGCCATATGGTATATTATTTTGTATTCAGAAAATATACGTTCATTTTTCTACGGGAACACTTGGACGTATCGTAATTTGACCATGCAATGATTAGTAAACATCTATATAGTAAGAAGGGAAACATGTTATTCTATTGATGAGACCGACGATGAAAATGGCGTGAGGTGTTATTGAGCATGGACGGAGAGAAATCTATTGAGTTAGTTAAGTGACGAGGTAACGGCAATGGCACTGAAACCCTTTTAAGTAGAAAAGTAAATTAAACTGCGGGTAAACACTTTCCACAAAGTTCCGATGGATGTACCATTGCCCCTTAATATTCAGAATCGAGACAGAAAGGACAGCCAGATTTGTAATTTTGCAGCAGGGATTCAAACCTTTTTTCCAGTTGCGCACAGCATTGTTGAGCAACGTTGGGGGGTGGGGCTGGTATGCAGGAGGAACATCGTGGCTGCCATCTGCGAAACCCTTACCATTTAGTCGTGAACTCGCCAGAGTCATGAATTTAGTTGCAACATGTGTCGAGGTGTCGTGATTACGAAAACTATGTAACCAAGGGGAAGAGATAGAAAGCGCAAAATGATATGGCAAAATGGCCGAGACTTACACAGTACTCCGTTATTTTTGGTATTTTCTTCCCTTGGGGGTTGAGCCTTTGGAACTTGTACCAAGTGTCCCGGTTGAACGATCACGTGCTGAAAGACACTCGTCGGAGTTGATGTATTAGTTATCGCCGTGGTGGCAGACATTACGACACTGGTCGGCGGAGGTTGACTTCTTTGCACATCCATACGAGTAGAGACGAGATGACCAGGTTTACTGGCCTAATACATTTATGACAAAAAGTATTACCAAAATGGATATACAAATAAACGGTACTAATAAGACAATGTTGCATGGTGACGCCTACCTGGTGCAAAACAGGCATTTTCTCCGTGTGGACGGATGCAGCCGCGGGTGACTGTGGAGGTTGACACTGCGATTGATGCAACGGCGGTAACTGTCCCAAATGATTCATCATACCTTGCCGGTATTTGTCATCCTGATTCCCCATATGACCGGGCGGGGTGACGTCCATGCTGTTCTTTATCACGACGTACTTCTTTTCGTGCTGATGTTGCATGACATAAACCGGCTGAGGTTGAGCCTGAGGTTGGGCGTAATCAACGGGTTGCTCTTGAGACTTGTGCAGAAGGCTCAGGTTTTGGAGAGGCGGAGCGGACAAAGGAATATGAGGCGAATGAGGTGGTTTTAGCAATTGAGGATTCTGGTCCGGCACGTCGGGACGGCCGGAAAACCCGTTGTTCGAGGTCAGGGCGTGCTGCAGGATGATCCCCTGCTGTTGCTGCTGCTGCTGCTGTTGCTGTTGCGCCATGGTAGTGGTCACGACGGAAGGATGTCTCGGCGGTGGGCTCTGACTGGACCAGGATAGGGTCAAATTTTGACTGGGTATTCCACGTCCCACGGGAGAGATTCTTATTACGCTGGTTCCTATGCTGGCAGGTGCGGTCGGAGCAGGTCGACTCGGCCTAACCATCCGATTAGGTTCCGGCTTGATCACTTGTTGCTGGTACTGAACCAGGAAATTCGATTGAGTGGGTGAGTGCTTCCACTTCGCACCAGGCGATATCAGTGGGGCCGCGTGGTGCGCAGGACTGGAGATTGGCATGAAAACGTTGTTTTGATTAAGACTCAATGGTGGCACAGGAGACTGGTTTATACACGGAGATATCGACGACTGTCCCGTTGGCGACGAGAATGCCGGTGTTGCGGACCGGGAACTTCCTAAGGACACTGTAACAACGAAACGTACATTTAATAACTCGGCATTCGGACGGAATGGACTTCAGACCGAAGCTACATCGGTAAGTAATCGATAAGAAATAAAAGAAAAAATTCTTACCAAGCATATTGGCAGCTTCCGTTTCATCTTGGTCGAATCGACCAGCTATTCTTCGGTCGCCATAATTTGGTGACGTATCCGAGTCCCTCGACGTCTCTTCTCCGTCAATTTTACCACTGCAAATAAATAGAAAAAAAAATTATAACATTACTCGTCCCACAATGAGACGAAACGAATCGGTTAAACGGCTGGAATGCCCATCGACGTCTGACTTACCCAGGAAACGTATTCGTTGGACCTCGAAGCCCGGATCCTTTTAAACTAAGATGTCGAGAGCAATAGCCTCTCCTTTGACTCTCTTTAGGACATTTTTCTTTGCTACAAAGTCTACGCCACTGTTTCCCATTGAACTTCTTCCTAATCCCACTTGGCGTGACCACAACGTCACCCTTTTTATATTTATGTGGCGTTGCCGCCTGAGATCTGCAAACGTGAAAAAATCCCATGAGACAGAGAAATACCGTTTACCTTCTTACATACTAAAAACTACGTTATAAAAAGCAAAAAAAAAATTGACGCATTCATTTACGAATTATCCGATTGATTTTCTTGCCAGTGCGTCACGCGAGACCACCAGACCGCTATATATAGATATTCATTGTACAGTTATGGCACGCTTCTATTCAATTGCCGAGGTTCGTGAAAAATATCCGCATTGGTACATAGTACACCTGCGAATTCAGCTCGTAAAGCTCGAAATAAATCTGAAATTACCTGGGTGTGGCTGCCTGAGAACGAGGAGTTATGCTACGTTGCTCAACTAGGCTACTGGTGCTTCCCCGACTCTGCGTACTGCTTCTCTTGCTGCTCCCTGACAATTTTGCATCTGTCAGTCAAATACACTCGTTACTTATATTACCTCGATTCATCGTGCATGTCCTACATACGTACACGCTGCTACCTCTTCCTACACCGATCGGAATACGCGACTATAAATGCGAACATAGGAACGTAAGGGCATCTCACCTGCGTCAGACGGGAACGTGATGTCCTCCCTGTCTAAATCGTCCTCACTCTCGAAATCGTCGTAGGGTCTACTACCGTTGCTGAGGGCGGTGCTGGCCGAATGAGCCGGAGTGTTGAGGGCCATGAGAGGACTCGTACCGGTGGTCCTGTAGTAACCACCCGTGTCACTCTGATTCGGTACATGCGACCCGTGGTTCGGCGTGTGATGTAGTTGTAACATCGGCATCGGTGCCGGAGCGTCCAGGGAGTTCCGGTAACCATGTTCTGGAGTAGAAAATCCTCGTTACGCGTAATCCACGGGAATCTCTAACGACAACCGAGCCGCGGATCTTTACCGAACGCAAACCCGCTGAAAATTCGACAAAAAATCGAGCGATATCGAGTCTCGGCCAGCCTCGTCGGATCTCCGAGCTGTCTCGATTTCCACGTCGCATCGGCAATGAAATCTCGACAAATCGAGATCGATCCGGCAAGGCTAATCTACCGTTCCTACGTCTAGCGCGACTCCTTCGAGACTCTATTTTTGCCGAGGCTCGATACAGATCATCCAGATCGATTGCGGATTTGATATGGCTTCAGAATTTTTACTCGGGTTTCTCGTCGTACCGAGTCGCTGGTTAACCGTTCTCGAGCGCATCCCAGAAATACGCGATAGCCGACGGTATCGCCAGGTACCTCGACGCGTCTCCTCGAAAGACAAAAATCCGGCAAAGCGTCCCTTACCGACTGCGTCCACCCTCGAAGATTCGCAGTCCTCCAAGCCCTCCTCCAGCTCGTCCCACCAGGGCGGCTGCACCAGCCTCAGGTCCGCCCTCTTCACCACGTAATTCTCGTTCTGATCGTCGTCTCTTAATATCTTAACGACGAAGCGCTTCGGCTTCGTCAGTATTTTGCACACGGTCCCTTTGACAAATACGTTCGTCAGCGCGTCGATGTGACTGTTCGTAGTAGGACACCTGACGCAAACCTTCGCATCTAAAGTCACTTGGCCTACCGACGGGCTAGCGTCGCCTATCACGTCGTACTTCCCTGCGCCGAGGACGTCGCTGTACCGCACCAGCTTGCCCTCCCCGTCGAACTCGATGAAGATCTCGCCGTGGGTCGCGTTGCGTATCACGCCCGGATAGTAGCGAGAATCCCTTAAAGCTAACACTCGGTGGTCGCGCCACTCACTGAGATCAACCGCGATGGTGGCTGGCCGAGGACGAGTGCGCGGTGGCTCGTCCCTCAGGGAATAGTCCACGGCCATGCTCTGCGGAGGTAGGACCACGACCGACTGCGCCGTGGATGCCTGCAACGGGAACGGAGACGTTAACGAAGGGTCCCGATCGCGACCCGATCGCGACCCGACCGGGGGCTTACCTGATAACAGTCGACCTGCTGCTGCCGGTGCGGCGACCGTTGAGGCTGCGGCAACGACAGGGCCGAGTGTTGAACCAGCGGCGTCCTCGCGGCGAGCACGTTGGCGACGTTGCTCGTGACGTTGCTGGTCACGTTGCTGGTCCTGTCCATCTCCTCGAGCTCGGACGGGTCGAACTTTCTTTTCTTTGGAAGTTTCTTGGCGACGATGGTCGGGTCGGACGGGTCTCTCTGCGGGGGCGGCGGCGGCGGGGGTGGCTGCTCGGGGACGGACTTCTCCTCGACGGCCGTCGTCCCGCCACCCCCGCCGAACTGGCCGCCCCCACCGACTCCTAGGGAATCCCGCTTCTCGTGCATCTCGGGATGCGCGGTCAGCATGTTCGCCGCCTCAAGCTGCTCTGAGGAAAAATGACAAATTTACGGTCGGCCCTCGATTTCCTTTTCTGCGTCCTCGGCGGAGATCGCGCTCGACGGGCAAACGCCTCCGAGAGTCGTTGGGCTAGGTCGCGTCCTCGTTTCCGGGGCGGTTCGCTTTCGTTCCCCGCAACCGTTGGATGCACAAGGATTGCGCATGCCCGACGCATCACGTGAGAATCGTGACGACACGACGATGTTCCTATCTCGCCGACATTTGGTATAGAATATGCGCTATCTGCCAATTCCCACGATACGCCATCCGTTGGTTAACCCGTCCCAGAAACTCGCCTACCTGGACTCGCCTTTTTCCTCGAGCTCCCCGTCTCTTTCCGACCCGCCGCGCTCGTACGAAAGAATCGCTAGTTTTTCCCCACTTCTTGATATCTCGGCTAGGCGCGTTTCGCCACCGTCTAGTTTCAGCGAATCCGAGCGGCCGGCGGACACTAGCGATGCCGCCGTCTTTATCGCCGAAGGGGAACTATTGTATCGAGAAACTTTGAGACGGAAAATGTCAGGGATCCGGACCGAGGTCGCATTATCTTCGGATAACGTGCAAGCGAGCGCAGCTCCTGAGGATAACCCTATCAGATGGACGCCGCGAGAAAACTCGCGGGGACATCGAGCTCCTATCGGTCGCGCGCTTCGAGGTGGTCGCTGATTCAAAACCGCGTATCTCGTTCCATTGACATTATCCCCGACCGGTCCGGATCGATCCAGCTTTCCTAATCCTAAGCATTATTTTTTTTCTACAATTTCTTCTAGATCGGCATCGACCGGGATGGCACGAATCGACCTTGGACCGCACCGCCGCGTCGACGGCGTCGGGACCGCTCGCCTTCCCGGGGGACCAGGGATCGGACGGCATACTCACAGTCGATAGAGGACCTGATCGGCTGCAGGCCGGAGTGCGGCGGATTCGGATCGAAGGCAGGAGGCTGCTGACAACGGCTGGGTGCATACCTCAGCACCCGGCTGTCGGGCACGGGGTGCGTCGAGTCGGGGCTCTCTCGCGCCGGCAGGATCGGAGTTCCCTCTCCCAGCTCCAATTCTTCCTCCCAGGCCCAGCTCCCGAGCATCCTCCTCCAAGGGTTCTTCCCTAGATTGGACACTCTGCCGTCTCCCCGTTGGCTTCCCGGCCTTCACTGCTCCTCCTGGAAACGGGAAACCTCTTTTACTACCCCGCTCAACGGCGATTCGCATCGACGACGAATTGCGTTAAAATTAAAACCCGACACGGAAACCCGCCGATCGAGTTCCCTGGGACGTCGAATTAAAGTCTCCGGAATTATATTGCGGCCTGTTCGTTATACGATTTTTTTTTTCTTTTTTCAACGCGAAGAACTAATTTCTGGAATTTCACCCCTTTCGTTGGCGGGCAAGTTCGCGAGTTCGGGCCACGCAACCCAATATGGCCGCGCCTTATCTCGCTCGCAATCGAGGGGGGAAATCGATCTCCATCGGCGCGTGCGCCAATTCCCCGGGACGTGGGCGAATTTATTCGGAGTTTCATTCATGGCGGCGCGGAGGGGAAGGGACGCATCGCCTAGACTTTCCTCCATTACGACCTTTGTGTGCACTTTCCGCGAGACGCAGGCGCGCTTCCGGAAAAACGCGCGCGAAAGCGCTTTCGGTCTCTCCTCTCTTCCGCGTGCTCATTTTCCCATGATATACGCGGGGAATATCGCATGAATGGCCAAACGTCCGGCCGATATTCCACGTAACCTCGCACATTCGTTACACCCGTTGCGAACGAGCCGCGTAAACGGGCGATGCGCGCGCACCCGCGTCGCGTCGCAGGATCCCGAGCATCCACGCGACATGCGAACCTTGGCCATCGTTCGAGAGTGATCGCGGACGCTCGATCGTTAATTGGATCGGCAATGAATTATAAAATCATCGGATCAACGAGATTGCCGCAAAAAAACCGCGTTACTCGGGCGCAATTGATCGAGAAAAATCAGTCGGCGCGGATAATCTTAATTGCTCCTCTCCGTCCAATTGCGGAGTGCCTCGCCGGCGCCGATTTTTCCCGGGAGGAGTTCCCTCCAATTGTCGCGAGGCGGTGGCCGCGATGCAACACTGGCGGCGCGTTAAAAGTGCGTCCGATAGACGTATCTTCCGCGTAGGCGGGTCACGTACGCGCGGGGTCATTGTCGCGCAGGGACGACTCGTGCCCGCCCGAGTATTCGGATTACGGAATCGCTCGGGTCGATTTCAATTCGCCCCTCGGCGAGGAAGGGAAGCGCAGAGTGCTACTTTTCGCGTCTGTCGGAGGACCCGGGGACGTTTGTCGATTTCTTCGTATCGGTCGCTACACGAGGGCGACGACGAGAGTCGCGTCGACGCGTCTCGGAGGGTCGTAAACTGCGTTCGACGTGGCCCGCGTCCAAAGATCTCCCTCGGTGTCAATGGCGACCTCGAGGCCTCGACGGCCCGCCACGAGGTGGGGGGGACGCTCTCCTCGGAGAGCAAAAAGAAATCCGGAGGAAAAGGAAGGAGAGAAGTCAAGGAGAAACGGATCCTCCGTCGCTGGGCGTCCGAGGTGCGGAAACTCGAGGTTAATCGACGGCGGCGGCGGTCGGACGCGGGATGGGTCGCCGCCCCACGCGACGACAGGTTCCAACAGGTCCCGACGGGTCGCGACGCGCATCTCGGTTCGACCGCGCCGTATCGAGCTCCTCCTCGCGCTATCGGTCCGACCCGACGTTCCAAGAAACTGCAAAGAACTCGAGATCGCACCTTTTGTCCTATCTCGAGGCTTTTATCCTATCGCGCCACCACGGCGGCCTAATCGGTACGCACCTAACCTCCAAAGCGGGAAGCTCGCTTCCGAGTCCGTCTCTTATCGGACTTTGCGAATTCGAGATCCCTCCTCGACCCCGGGATCCGTTTCCGTCGAGTGCGGGACTTCCCTCCACCTCTCCCCGTCCACGTAACCTGGAAGTCCGTCGGGCGTCCCGGCGACTCCCGACTCGAGCGCGGGTTCAAGGCCGGCACTTTTCGGGGAAGAGGCATCGATCCGAAATCACCGGAGAGGTTGGCCGTGGGTCGAGCCCTCTCTCTCTCCCGGAATGTCGTCGCGGCGGCGGCGACGCGTCGAGAGGCGATACGACCGACTCGCGCGACGCGGTAAGAGTTTACGGCGCTGCGGGCGTGCCGCGTCCCTCTCTCTCTCGGAAGAAAACAACGGCGGACCGAGGAGGAGGCCCGCCGAGGGGAATGCACCGCGCCGAGGAAGGACCACGGCCCGACCGAGGCTGACTCACGCCCCCACCCCGCCCGCCCGGCCATTGTGTCGTCACCGACGAGGAACGAGCTCCTCCCGGTGGCGCCGATCGAAATCGAGCCCGCCGCGGATTTTCAGGATCGTCGATCGGGCGGTCGGGATTTCGACCGGCCGCCGCCATCTTGGTTGCCCCGAGCCCGGTCGGTCCGGGCATGGCGGACTAATTGGCGACGCATAAGGTGATCCATGTACCAAGTTCCCACAGTTTTAATTGCGCTTCGTTCCGGGAGAATATTTCTCAAACTTTTCTCCGGACTGGGCGCACCGACCAAGTCTGAATCTTTAACGCGCGATTATGGAGATGCCAAGGAAAGTCCTGGAACTCGCGAAATTTCATTTTTCGAACAGACATTTTTTTTTGTCCCTATTAGGGATAAATACTTTTTTTTTTCCGAAAATTGAAATTCCACGAGGTTAAAGACCTTTGCTCGGGCACGTGTTGAGGTTTCGAATTATTCGGTGCACTCGGTTCGGAGAGAAGTTTTATAAACGTTTTGAGCTTTTGGCGTATATACATATATGTTACTTTCGTAACACCTTAACGTTTCGAAATTCGCGAGGACGGAATTCCCAGTCGAGATTTCGGGAGGGGAAACCTCGAAAGGGTTAAAGAGAGCGAGAGAAGGGTACGTTTCTCGATCCCCGAGTAATCGCGGTACCGAATTTTATTTCCTTCGAAAATGGTAGGACCTTAAAGGAATCCCTGCGGTCAGCGGTTTTAAGCGGTGACCGCCGCCTCGCCTCGAAGAGCGATTAAACGATCGCGCTAATTAGAGGCGGAGGGCCCTTTAGGAAACCTCGGCGAACTCCGTCGTCTTTCCTCGTCGAGGAGAGTTCCGAAACTGGCGGAACGCGAGCTCGTTATCCGGCCTCTCGGGGGTTTTACTTGTAACAATTGGTGCCGTCGTAATCTCGAAAATGGAAAAGCCGCCCATCCGCGGTTCCTCGCGTTCGCCGTTTTTTCGTGCCGAGCCCGGAAAAGCCGCGAGGGCGCGTACGTACGTTTTTCTTAGCCAGTTAGCCGTTGCGACCTCCCTGAAAAGCGGGCTTTCCCGACGAGGATGCTCTTGGAAAACGGCTAACTGGTTGATATTCTTCCACGAGTCTCGCGCGTTAAAATTCGGTCGGTCCGCAGGTCCCGAGCCGGAGGAGGGTCGGCAGGTCGTCGGGAAACTCCCCTCGGCGGCCCATTATATCTCGAGGATCCGATTCGCAACGTCGACGTCAGGTATGGCGAAGAATAAAGGAGCGAGGGAAGAGCCGGGCAGTGTCTTCGGTCGACGCGACTTAAGCTTTTTCCAGGGGGCCCGTCCCTCCGCGTCCGTGAAAAGCGACCGAACGGCGACACCCGATACGGCGGAAACTAAGGAGGAGCCATCGCCATGGACAACGGCCCCGTCCGGATTTGCCCGCAAAACCCGGCGACTTTCCAAGAACCCTTACAAGGACCCACGTCGAGTGGCCGGGGACGCGAACCGTTCCCACCAGCCTTCGGCAAAGTCTCGTCGAAAGCACCCCTGCCGAAGAAAGTCTCCGCCCAAAATGGCGCCCGTGGATCTCATCGATCGCCCAGGGTACCTTTCGGTCGGGGACGGACTCTCAAATGTGGAAGATCAAGGCCAATACCGAGGAAAAAAATTAGCTATGACGCGTATGATTTTTTTTTTCCCCGCGGGACCGTAAACCCGATGCCGATTTTTTTTCATCGCCGTTTCAAGCACGATCGATATTTTGTCACCGCCGCTTCCCACGCGATCGATATACCGTAGACCGCACGCGGGAATTATCTGGCGGTCCCTCCGCATAAAGACCGAAGTGCCGATGCCGCGACCAAGGGTCCCCTCGGCGGGAAAACGGCGCCGATACACGAGAACGAAATTACGCCCCCGAGGCATTCCGAGGTACTTATCCACGGGAAATTACCCCAGGTCAAGAGTCGCCGTGACGGAAAAGGGCGAGGGGAGGCGCGTCCCGAGGATCGCCTTACGGAAAGTTGTCGGTAATAAAAATATCGATGTCAACGTCTCGGAAGAGCCCCGGGTGTCCGGAGGTACGCGGAGGCGGAAGGTGTCAATTGGTTTACGCACGCGGCGCCCCCAAGGGACACCTTCCAGGGGGGTCCGATGGTACCTCGGTCCCCTCGGGGTCCCTTCGGGTACCTCGGGGGTGCAGGGCGTGCCGGGGCCCATTCGCGCCGGACCGTCGACGAGGGGATCGCGCGGTGTAACCGATACCTGGGCTCGGTGGGCCCGATGAAAGGGCCGAATCTGGCCGGCAAGTAGGAATATTGTGCCCGAGCCCTGGGGGGTCCCCGTCCGCGGGCATAAATCAGCCGAGGCGAGCCGAGAGGCCCATTGTTCCCGGCGCACCCGCACCTGCTCCTTCTTCACCCTCTCCCGCGCTTTTCCCCCATTGTTTCACCCTGGCCCCGGACAAGGCCCGATTGCCTCGGACCGGCTCACGGATCCGCTTTCCGGGAAGCGGCGCGTTACGCAAGGCCCGCGTCGCGTTTCGGAGTGACGTCAGCCCGTCGGGAGGAACGCCGGAGAATCCGGCATAGGATGGCACCAGGGGAACCATCGTCCCTCTCTCTCTCGCCGAGAGAAACCGGGAAAGTAAATCGGTCTCAAAGGGGGTCGAGTATCGACCGAGGGGGGCCAATTTGCATGGCCGATATCGGCCGACTACCTGTTCGCCCTCGGAGTCGACCGTCGCCTTGTCGCGACGACGGGCCGATTAATCGCGTTTCTTGCAATAATTAAGATCGACGAGAAGGGGACGAAATCGTCCACGACTCGCGGGGACGTTTTGTTACCCTTTTTCTCGCGCCGGCCGCCCGCGGGGGTATGCGGAATCGACGTTAAA